GTCCGTCCCTTTGTATGTTTAAATCTTTAAAACTACGCAACGGATTTTGAAGTGGTTTTTTTAATAGATAGAGTTATTCAAGAGAAACGTTTATATGTATAATACATGTACACCCGTGCGAAGCCAGGGCGAGTAGTTAGTAACTAATATTTCCATAACGTCACTTTAACAAATTTCTTGATATAACTAATATTTACATATTCTCTTCCGATTTGTTACATGGAAGTTGCACTGTATATACATGTTCTCCCTAACTCTTAGAAACAAATACGGACATCCTGATATTTTAATGTAGATATGTAGTTGATAGCCATATATAAACATAAACCGGGCCAACAGCTGCGATTTGTATGCAATATGACGCGACGATTTAGGCCGGCCATAAACAATGTACCGGTTACAGCATGCTCCAATATAATTATAATAATAATAATCTTTATTTGTCTCAAACAAAAACTTTTCACACAATACAACTGTTGCCCATACAATAATATAATCTAAAACTAATGAATGAGACAAAACGGTATATAACTCAGTGGGGGCAGTGAGTCCACCCTCTCTGCTATTCTGTTATAGCCTTTATCAGTAAAATAATACAAGTATCATCATTAAATTAATATTATGATAATATTATTTATTATAACATTATTATATTATAGTAGCTGACCCCGTAAACGTTGTTTTGTCATATAAATTGAAATCGTTATTAAAAAATTTGGATTGATGCTAGAAGGGCGAAAATTATTGTTGTATGTATTTTACAATGCTAAATAAAAATAAAATATTGTCGAAATATTTGTAATTGTCAATATAGTATTTGTTTTTTTGCTATTATTAAAGATCTTTCAAGATTATCTTCCATAATCATATGTTGGTTATCTCTCAACTGGTAATAATGAATTTGATACAATTTTCTGTCAAAATGATCGTTTGGTGTATTCTCTGTAATTTGTTTATTGTTGACAATAAATGTTTTATCTATCTATCTAATCTATCTATCAATATTTTCATTAAATTAATGAAATCTACAACGTTAATATACAGGATGATTAACATCGTTGTTATTGCGTTTTCTAATAAACTCTATTAGAAAACGCAAATATGTAATAACAACGATGTTAATCATCCTGTATATTAACCGTGTCAGTTCATAGTACAAACTTCCTCTGTCCACAATTGAGTTTGCAGGCGAGTGTCTCACTCATTATACACTAATGACACAACACAACTGCAGTGTCTGACATTTATATGTGTAATACACTAGTGGCCATAGACTAACAGTAATAGAATTACAAATTAGTGATTATAAATATTAAACTTGTTTACGACCCCTGACGAAAAGAGTGGTGTTGTATATGTGACGTGTTGTGTGTCTGTATGTGTTATTATAACTCTTAAATGGATTGATGGATTTGAATGCGGTTTTCTATATTTAAAAACTATTGCGACCGCAGTTCTGTACGGGTTACGAACACTGATTACACTATTTACTTTTCACAAAATTTCAATAGCATATGCTGATGGTCAATGTAGTCTCCCAAATTTGAATTTATGAATGAATCTGTATTATTGTAAACAATATTTGAAAGGAATAGGAGCTGAGTTTCTTGTAAGGTCTTCTCATCTTGACGTCATATTTGACATATCATAAGAGTCTGTAATAGACCTACACGAATAAAGATATTTTGAATTTGTTTTGTTCTTAGTTACAATTTGTAGAGATTTGTTCAGGCGTCTCAATATTATATATTATTAACTTAATTTCTTGTTGTCAAATTAATTTCACCCGCTTTTTATTGATATTAAATGTTTTTAATATTGTTAATTTAATCGTACATGTATAATAATTTTCTTAAAGTTGTTAATATTGTAAACATTGGTACGGAGAGTTTGTATTTGCAGTTATGTTAGGTTTTTTTATAATGGCAGTAATCTTACTACAAATAAGATACAAATGTAACACTTTTGATTCGTCATTTTTTTATGATTGTGTGATTTTTATGTGTGTGTGATTATGAGTGTGACTCATTCATAATGTACATTTGACGGAGAAGGGTAAACAAATATTCATTACATTTTACAAGTATCATTACATAGTATCTTTATCTATACATATAAATAAAAGTGGAGTGTCTGTTTGTAATATTGAAATAAACATTTTTTACAATTTTTGTCTGTTTGTTCCGGCTGTAATAAAGAGTAACTTAGGATACTATAATTTAAAAATCTTTTATTTTAGAAAAATAATGTTAAATTTCACACGGACGAAGTCGCGGGTATATCTAGTACATAATATAAAACAAAGTCGCCGCCGCTATCTGTTCGCTTATATCCTCTAAATTACGAAACGGATTTTATGAAGTTTTCAGCAATAGACAGTGTGATTCAATATGAAGGTTTATATGTATAATACATGCGTGTTATAGTATAGAACAAGTAGAGAAATTCAAAGAAATAGAAAGGACGCTTCAAATTCAGCGCCGTAAAATTAAATAAATCCCTCTCCAACTAAAATGTGTGACGGCCTCGGTGGTTTAGCGGTTTAGCACACCACCTTACTTCCGATGGTCGCGGGTTCAATTCATCACGCGGCAGAAATATTTGTATTCATGAGTATGATTGTTTGTATCGGTCTGGCTGTTTTCTATGTATTTATAAAAAAAAACTAAGTATTTATATCAGTTATCTAGTAACACAAGCTTGGTTTACCGTGGGACTAGATGGCGCTGTGTATATTGGCCAGGGTTATTTATTTTAATAAGGTTGTAAAGGGTTTATATAGAGTAATAAGAAGTGATGAGAACTTTATATAGTAGAGTAATAAAAATTACTTTACATAAAGTTCTGTATAGATGAATTTATATTCACCAATGTCATAACCATTCTCATATTCACACAATATTTATTATGACGTTTAGTGTTAACTCATACCACATATGATATATTAACTGTTGGACTATAATGTTTTAAGTGTCTATAAATTTGTTCGGACAAATGACAAGATGAGCAAATACTTTTGTTGGTAAGTGCCAATTGTATTATTACTATGAATTTGTAATTGTAGCGTGAATTCAGATTAAAAGTATCCAATATGATAATCTAGGATTTGATCTATCTGTCTACCAAATTTCATTGTAATCTGTCCAGTAGTTTTTATGTGAGAATAATCAAACAACCTATCTCGGAAACTTTAACCTTTACGATACAGTACCAATTTTATCAGGGTTTACTGTCACCTTTATGGTACCTATAATATCTGTCTTTGACAGCCTCAGTGTTCTAGCGGTTTAGCACATCGTTTTTCTTCCGATAGTCGTGGCTTCGATTCCTCAACGCACGACGCAACTATTGTGTTAATTATTAATATTGTTTGTATAGTGTTTTGTCTGTATTTTCTATGTATATTTATAAAAAACAGAAACGTATTTAAGTATTTCTAGACTCTTGGAACTTATCACACTAAATAGATCACAATTTGTATGATGTTTCTAAAAATTATTTAACTATGCTTCTTTGTGAATCTTATAAGGTAAACATGTTATTTGAAAAGAATAAGAGCTGAGATTCTTATCAATTCTTCTTAGCTCGAACTGACACTTTGACATATGCTAAGAGTCTGTAATAGACCTACACGAATAAAAATATTTCGATTTTGTATTTTACAGGATAATATACAGAGGATACATTATATCTTAGTCCCTTTAGGCGATGGCTACCACTTACCATCAAATGTACCGTCAGTTTGTTTGAAATGGCATAACAATTTCATAAAAAAAAAAAAATTTTATATATTTAATGAAATTATTTTTAGGGTTGTTACGTAATCAAAACTCCCAGACCGTTGACGTAATGCATGATTGAAACTGATATCGTTTTATAATGGCTATGGTGTCGATTGATTCGCCCTAATTGTATGAGTGTTGTATGCAACATGACAAGTGTAAACTAACGTAAAGAAAGATTGGATTGTTTATTTGTAAGATCTGAAATACTCTAAAAATAGTTTGTTTTTGAGAATAATATAATAAAATATATTTTAACTAAATAATAATCATTGTATTAATAATAATAATGACAAGTTTAACACCCCATCAAAGGGATAGATATATATATATATATATATATATATATATATATATATATATATATATATATATATATATATAAACAATAATAAAGACATTTATTCAGCATTACTGTATTCTTATATGCTATCTATATAAGAAGTCATTTATTTATTAATATTTAATCTTAGTACAATATAACATGTATAAAAGTTGGGCTTAATGTCGTATGGCATTCTCTACTTAACTAACCTTTACGTAATTGGTACATTTTATATATATATAAATCTAATTATACTATAACAAATATAATATAAATAGATTTATACTTATTATCTAACTAATTTATCATCGCCTAACGCCTATCTATCTTATATACTATACATCTTAAAAGCTAAAACATACTAGTAACGCTGAATGTGACTCAAATAATACGGAAGCAAAAACCTCTTTTTGCGAGATTGCACGGACGGAGAATGAAATTTCGCACACTTATAGTTTGTATAGTGAAGGAGGTTAGGGACCGCTAGGAGTTCGAACTTCGGCTCAGGCCGTCGTAATTTCGATCCCCGTTTTAATTGGACAGGGGATCGATCTTAAGGGGAATGGTGCACCTGTTTGCGCTAATGGTATACGCTGGTACTCGTGAAGGATGATAGGATCACAAAGTTAGGTTAGCCCGTGTCGAATTCACCAGGAAATAACCACGATGATTTCCAGGATGAACCGTATGGAGATCGTTTATTATTACAGTCCTAACCCAAAATGTGATATTATGAAGCAAAATGGCCTGTATTTTATTGTAATAATAATTATTGATCGCTACAAGACTTGCATTCATGGAAATTGTCTTAAATAATTATGTAGAGTCTTACAAATGTACCACATTCACTTGTTTATCTATTCGTGTACTAAAATGTATTATTTTTGTTACAGTTCTGGTTTGATGTCATCGTCTATAGAAGAGGTGAGTACAATTAAGTATTTATGTATAATTAATTTATTATGTAAGTAATTTATTTGCATTACAATTAGATATGTAAACAATTTAGCCACAGTGATCAGTATTAGCAATCTGTGCTTGTAATATAACTTTTCTCAATAGGCACGCAAAGTTCATTTTTTCTCAATAATATATTTTTTATTTCTCAAAAATATATATGACTAATATTCTTTGTCTATATATTTTTTTTAATATTTAATGTACATCTGAATGTTGGGCTGTAAAGGGGACGGACAAAAGGCGTGTGCATGTAGCAGAAATGCGAATGTTGAAATGGATGTGTGGGGTAATTAGGAATGACAGAATAAGGAATGTGTAAATACGAGGAAGTTTTAAAGTTCCGGCAGTTATAGACAAGTTGTGAGGTAATAGATTGAGCTGGTATGGGCCTTTCATGCGGAGGAACGAGGATCATGTCTTAAGGAAAGTGTATAATATGAACGTGAATGGATGGAAAGGGAGTGGACGCCCTAAAAAAAGATGGATGGGTTGTGTGAAAGATGATATGAATGAAAGGAGAGTATGCTCAGATATGACGGCCGATAGAGATCAGTGGAAGAGAATGACGTAGTGAGCCGACCACAAATAATGTGATAAAGGCCTGGCAATGTTCATGATTTACTGTACATCCACGGCTCATGTACAGTTTTATTATATGTATGATGATGGTGGAATGAACGGCTGAAATTTTGATGACACTGAACACAATCAACGTAGAACAAAGAAATAGTTAAGTGAACACGTCAAAATTTAAATTGAGCGCCGGCTCGACGCCTATCTTAGAGACAGGACGGATATTCAGCTCAAAAGGGTTGCCATATGCGAATTTTTCACTGATTTACCAGTTTTATTATCAAAAACTGACTTGAAAGCGTTTTAATACCATATACCGGTTGTCTAAACTAAATGCCGCAGTCTTTTGGATTAATTTCACTTGTTATATGTATTTTTATAATAATCTTATATCTCTATTAGTATATTATAAATGATGGGTGGCTGTTTGTTACTCTTTCGCGCAAAAACTACTGAACGGATTTTGATAAAGCACCCATAACACAAGCTCTGCTTAGCTTGGGACTAGGTGGTACTGTGTAAATGATCCTGGTTTATTATTATATTATTAAATGGCAACCCTAGCTGCAGACATTTGGATGCGAGTAAACAAAACTCTGTTGTGGTTTATCAGTGGTATTCTGATGTAGATAATGCTATTTTGGACTGTTATAAGACTTCTGCGTTAGGTCGTTAAATGAATTTTTTCTACCTGATTTTTTTACAGTTTTTCACAGAATGCGCAAAACTTTATGAGTATATTATCGCGCATTATATTTAAATAATTATATTACGTTTGAACTTGGATGGTTACTAGAGGCAGAGGAAGGCCGAAAAAGAGATGAATGGACTGTGTGAAAGATGATATGGTAAGAAAGGGAGTAAATAACGAGATGACGGGTAGGGATGAATGGAAGAGAAAACATATTACGACAACAAATTAATGGGATTAATAAAAAGAAGATTATATTGAAATTGAATGCAAGAAAATACTCTCTTTACTCTGAAGCGAGATGTCCCTACAGATCATACAGAATTATCGTTCCAAAATTGCGTATCGTTCAAAAATTTTTTTTTTATACCACTTAGGTGGCTAACGAGCATACGGCCCATCTGATGGTAAGCGGTTACCGTAGCCTATGGACGCCTGGGCGTTTTTTCAATTTCCTACATATATACATTGTCGTGCCATCTATCCATAAATAATCAATCATACCAATTGCCTAGAACTGGGCCATACACACACATGTGTCTCATAACACAATAAAAGCCATCTAGACTATATATCTAGGGCATAACCCAGTTAACCCTACTAGAATAAATTTAGATATGTTTTTTTTTATTACATTAGAGTCGTAACTAGAGAGGGGCTTAACGCAATTAAAGAAAGAAAATAATAACGATGGTTGATGTATCGATTTGATTGACTATGTAAATAATAATAATAATATATCAAAACAATTCACATAGCGCCATTTTATCCCAAGCTAAGCAAAGATTGCGTTATGGGTACTAGACAACTTATATAAATAAAATATAATATAATAAAATATATAAAATATAATATATATATCAAACACCGCAAAGGAATCATAATAAAATTTGACAACATATGTATATAGCATTTTCAATGGATGTTACTTTTTATGCTGGTTAATCGTGGTGAAGGACAACCATGTAGTCCGTGAAAAGCTAGTTTTAATTAATCTAAATAAAGTAGCAGATTAACGGGCTGTATGGTCTCAAATCCCTTGCATGCCTTGAAAAAAACATACTTTTTCTATATATCTAATAGTAATACATTTGTGAAAACAACAAACGGTGTTTTGTTTTTAAATTGTTTAAAAATATACTTATTACCACACTACAAATAAATGATAAACTACAAAAGCGACCGCGTCTCTTACCGGATGTGTGGACATGAAGCAGTTTAGTGGTTTCCTTACACTTTGTTATGGATATTCCTGTAATATCTCATTAAGCCATGTGCACACGAAGCACGTTGATAAATAAATATTTAGAGGAAGAAAAGAATTTATTTCTTTTTAAACTTCTAAGTTACTGTTTGTAATATTGTCAATTTTTCATTGAAATTACAAAATTGGTTCATTCATTCATTCATAATTTATGAGCCGCGTTCTTGTCGGGAGCTCTTGACATTTTCCAGGATCTTCCATCAATCTCTTTAGTTGATACGACACGACTCCAACTTTTTCCTTAATCTACTTGATATAGCCCTTCCTCTCTTCCCTTCTTCTCTCTTTTTACATATTCTCAATATCAAAACACCCTAAAAAATTGTCAGTTCTATTCATACCCTCGGTTTCTTAGTGAAGTTGCTTAAAGAACCGAATTGTTTTCCATACCGAAATCCTACTAGTCGATAACTATCGTGTGTCTTAACCTTTAGGACTCCACAAGACGATAATTCGGCCGCCATAATGGTTGGCTCCTTCCTGTTAATTAATTAAAAAGTAAATAAGGATGTGTCGCACGCAGATATCAAACCCGCAACGTTTATGTACAAAACGATAGCCACAACGTTAAAATTCCATAAGAAATTGATGTATAATTTAACGTAATTTAGAAATATTCATATTTAACTGATAGTTTTGGTATTTTAAGTTTTAAGAAAGAAAGTCCCCAATTGGTAGTGATTAATAGAATAGAAAATAGAAAATTCTTTATTCAAATAAACTTAAATTTCTGAATAATAATACTTATTTTTTAATCTACCGGTCATTCGGATAGGTAGCACAAGAAAAAGCAAGAAATTTGCGTGTTACTCTATTAAATGGTATATAATATATATTATTTAATATTATGTAATAATTATTAATTACTTACTACGAGAGATTTAATCTTAATAACATTAAATCTCTTGTAGTGACAAATCCCTACAAGCAGCACTCGTTCCCGAGTATGACGGATGAGGTATGACGATCCGTTTAACCATTTGTAGTCATGAAAATGAACAAACATAAAGATACATTTATAGTACAAGAATGGATTAAATTAAGAAACCCAAAAAAATCTGTACATTGACAGAGATATAAATCTTTTCTCTTAATATTTTAACTTCCTTCATAGACTTGAAACGCTGGTTCCATTTTATTTTTGTTCCGTCACAGTTAGCCGCGACATCTTGAACGCATTCGGTATTTCCTTTGCTTGTTCGTTAATTATAAAAATAAACGGATTTATTATTTTAACCACGAGTCACGCATTGTAGGGCGGTGCAACTCAATATGTTTTGTTTGAATTACTGAAATAAACTCACACAAAACTGTATTTTCAAACATTTTTTGTAATAATTTTTTTAATTTTTAAAATACAGGAAGGTTTCCTGTATTTTAAAACATTTGTTGTATGTAGATCAGTGTTTTTTAATATCATTTGTTTTTTTTGTACTTGGAATGGAAAAAATAAATGAAAACCTTCCTGTATTTTAAAACATTTGTTGTATGTAGATCAGTGTTTTTTTAATATCATTTGTTGTTTTTGTAATTGTAATGGAAAACCTTCGCCTATGTACACGAAGTACGGACGTTATCATGTGACACCCGTGATATCACTCATGCGTTGTCATTCCAGAGGAGTGTGATGTCATGTCAGTATCCTGTGATTTCACTATTTTTCAATCAAAACACAGGTTACAAAGTGAGCTGCTTGGCGGCTGAAATAGGTGAGGCTGAGACTTCGTAGACGACCTTTGCAGTTTTTTCGGCAGTTTTGTTTAAAAAAATCTTGGATTCTCTAATGAGATTTGTGAATATTTTTTACCTGCGTTAATCGATATATTGCTTTCTTTTAGAGTTAAAAAATCTTTGATTCTCTAATTAAATTTGTCAAAACTTTCAATCCTGGTTTACTCGAGGAAATGCTTTGACGTAGGTATAAAATGTCAACTTCATACGTGTCTTGTAATGAATACCGAGAACATATCTATGATGTCATTTAAGAGTTTTATTATGTGAAGATTTACACTTAATAAAACTCTATAAAACATCTATACAAATATTATAAAGATGTGATGTTTATATTTTACTTGCTAATCGCCCCGGCTTCGCACGGGTGTACATGTATTATATAATACATGTACATTCATTCGAACCCTAAAATTAGCGAATTATATATATAAACCTTCCTCTTGAATCACTCGTATCTATTAAAAAAACCGCTACAAAATCCGTTGCGTAGTTTTAAAGATTTAAACGTATATAGGGACGGACAGACAGCGACAGCGACTTTATTTTATACTATGTAATAATAATCATAGAATTAGGTGTTATTTTTAGAAAGTCCATTTTACTATTTATTATTTACTTAGCTATGCCCGCGACTTCGTTCACGTGGTTATCCATAAAAACACTATCGCGATTATCTTCGAAGCCCTTAAATATGAATTATTTTCCCCGTTTTAGCAACATTTTTCACTGATGCTTCGCTTCTATTGGTCGTAGTGTAATGTTATATAGCTTAAAGCCTTCCTCAGCAAATGGAATATTCAAAACAAAAATATTTTTTCAATTTGAACCAGTAATGACTGAGATTAACGCGTTCAAACAAACAAACTTTTCAGCTTTATAATATTAGTACACATTAAGTAGAAGTAAACTTGTAAGTTTTTATCTATATATTACTAGGAATCTCTATATATTACAGCAACTTAAATGCATAAGTGTTAATTTCAGTTTATTAAAAATTATTCAACATTATATCAAATTCAAAATCAAATTCAAAAATCATTTATTCATGTAGGACATTTTAGCCGCTTATGAACGTTAAGTTTTACATTATAATTTTTTTCCCTACCGTCAACACGTTACACTCTACTAGATGATCAGTCTGTAGTGTGTAGAGTATCAATCACGTAAAACGATAATACTCTACGGAACTCTATTTTCACATGTCCATGACGATCTTGACCATCTATCTAATGATCGCCTGTCACCTACAGGTAAATCCTGTCACAATAAAAAAGCCACAAAACAGATTAATGTTCTAAAGTTGGAGCACCCACGTTTCGTTCTTAGTTACAGAAAGAAACTCTTTGAAATTAGCCTTAAAAACTGTTAGTTGCTTCGTAAGCCTAGCGCTCGACAGTCAAGGGCGCAGAAAAATTCGATATAGAAATACGTTTTGGCGGGAGTTGTCGATATATCACTTCCGACACGTTCGATTTTCGATTTTCGCGCGTTACGTTGATAGTGCACACGTTCATAGAGTTTTGTGATTTATTTTTTATAGATTGAATGTTTTTTATACGGTTATATAACTTTTATAGTGAAATTGACAATTGAGTGTTTGTAATTATATAAAATTAATTTTATACATTAAAAGATAATAGTTGAAATAAATATTAGGATTACATTAAAAGAAAAAGTAGTAGGCAACTAAGAATTCTGTTGCCTCAAAAAACAACGAAAATTATAAGCAAATCATCCATTAGCAGTGACCCGCCCTGTCTTCGTCCTAACTTCGCGGGTTTTGTATATATTTACACAATGTCTTATGTCACTGTATAATAAGAATTTCTCAAATCGGTACTATGGTTCCGGAGTTTTTTCCTCAAAACACCTTACAATATTAGTTAGTTATTAGTAGATTTTACATTTTATAATAGAACTACTTTTAAAGTTTGTCATTGATAAGTTTCAATAAATATTACGTTATGAAGATATATTTCAAGTTAAAACAATATCATTTTATATTTATGTAACTACAAAGAATCAGTTTTATTATTTTCAACATAACTTTTTTAATCCTACATTCTCCATTTTGTCACTGAATCCATTTGAGATAAAACATTAAAGAATTCTACAAATCTAAAAAAACACATTAAAATTAAATATGTTCCCGTTACATCATAAATTATAGAGTTAACAACGTCATGTGTCAACAGAAAACTAAATGAATGAATTATGGAAAGGAAGCCAGCAATTTTTTTAACGGCTGTAGAAATATCTTGTGCCTTAGCGCTATTTCTTTTACGGAGGAGGCTGATATTGCTAATTACACTTGTTACACACTAAATAATTATTAGTTTAGATTATATTATTAATAATTAGACTCATTCTCTATCTTTTTCCCATTCACAAAGAGGAGAGGGGGCTCTCCTCTTTGACGTCTCATCTCTCTCTATTCACTTTTCTATTTTCCCCACTCATCCCCTTCTCTCCGCGTGACATGCCTAGTTTGTATTCACTCAAAATCTTAAAAATATAAAGTTGAACAACATTTGATTAGAAAAAACTGACAAATCTGCGTTTGAAATGATCAGTGGAAATAAATAACTGTTTAAATGTGCTTTATATTTTACTAACTACTCGCCGCTTATAAACCTTCCTCTTGAATTACTCTATCTGTTAAAAAAACCGATTCAAAATCCGTTGCGTAGTTTTAAAGATTTAAGCATCCATAGGGGTCTGTCCGTCCCTAGCGACACCGACTTTGTTTTATACTATGTAAAGATTGCTTGACCAATATATTCTGTCAACACACAGACGTGCAAACTCTATATATTTCATTGTATTTTGAATTACAATAAACTTATATTTTTTATATAATTGCGCTTTATTATGAGAACGCGACGTATTCCGTGAGAAGAACGTATTTGCGAAAAAAGCAACTCCAAATACCAATATAAAGTCTGCAATACAGCGATGTTTGTTCGACTGTCAATCAAACGGAGATGAATCGGGAATAGAAATGAAAGCTTCTAACATTCCATGGCTATTTCCCTCCATCTACTAATATTGTATAGTATGCCCTGACACCGGTGTCATCTCATATAACATATTGAACCTTGTAACTAGAGTTGTAACGGTACCGCTACCGGTAATGTAGTACCCGTACTAGTTACTACAGTATTGTTACGTTATTAGTAACTTTTAATGGTTATTATTTTATAATCATACGGTACATTCTTAATTTTTTAGCCGCTACTATATGTTTTTTCTTGTTATAGTCAAAATTTGGACGAAAGTATGTGGGAAAAAATTACATAGCAATTTATAGTAGTAACTTTTTTGTTTATTTTACTCCAATAGCTACTTAATTATAATCATTATTATCTTATGATGATAATAATGATTATAATTAAGATAATAAATAAACAAAAAAGTTACTACTATAAATTGCTATGTAATTTTTTCCCACATACTTTCGTCCAAATTTTGACTATAACAAGAAAATACATATAGTAGTAGTAACAAATTAAATGCAGAAAATTAAAGTATCTCCAATCACCATACCGCAGTCTCTAATCAACTACATTCAAGTAATTACAGTAACTACAAAAGTAACAATAATAATTACTAAGTAACGATACGTTACTTCAGTACAGGTACCATACTAGTTACTTTGTACGCAATACGTATTTGCAACAGCTCTACTTGTCGCTATCAAAACCCTATAAATTGCGTAAACGAAAGACTTTTAACAATAACAACAAATTTGGCCACGAGGCGCCACAAGCGTCACAATGTGTTTTGTGACGACAGCAGCTGTTTATGTGTAGAGGCGACGTTACCACTTACCATCTTGCCATTTGAAATACGTCATCATAGCCTACCTTCATTCCATTATTTGGTGGTCTTTTTGTATTGCTGCGGATCACACTTAATGACACAAGCTTTTTAATCTTATTATTAACTAGCTGTACCCGTGACTTCGTCCGCGTGGAATTTAACTTTATTTTTCTAAAATAAAAGTAGCCTAAGTTACTCCCTATTACATCAGCTACCTGCCAAAAAAAGTCCCGTTAAAATCGGTTCAGCCGTTTCAGAGATTAGCCGGAACAAACAGAACGACAGACAGACAGACAAAAATTTTGAAAAGTGGTTTTTTGGAGTATGTTCCTTATTTATATTCATATGCATGCAGTAAAAAACGGTTATTTCAATATTACAAACAGACGCTCCAATTTTATTTATATGTATAGATATAGGGAAGGTATGGATGGATGTTTGTTACTCTTTCACGCAGAAACTACTGAACAGATTCTGTTGAAACTTTACAGTGATATAGCTTATACATCAGAATAACACCTAGGCTATATATAAATTTCTCGCGGATAAAATCGCGGACACAACTAGTTGTCCATATTTTTTTTTTATATATATGATAATGAAATGGTGCACCCGCCTACACGGAGTGGAGGATGATAGGATGAGTATGAGGTCAGGTCAGTTAGCCCTTCCTGGTAAATTCACCAGGAATTTACCAGGATGGTTTCAGGAGGAACCGCGTGTAAGTTTCCTAACTCACAATCGATATTCTAGGCAATTTTTTTTTTATTGGGATGTTGGGCAATTGTCAGGTGCTTGGACCTATAGCACTGTGATCTACATAGATCTATTGTGCTCGCTATTCCATATGGATACCACTTACCATCAGGTGGTCATTGAAGTTGTTTGCCACTTCAGTTATATAAAAAATACATCTGTTTTGCGACTTGTTTTGATCTTAATACTCACGGTGTGTGTTCAATAGCATCTTACATTTATTTATCTTCCATCAGGGTACAGAGCACCCGGTAGACGAGGCGTCTAGCCATAATACAGTTATTCAGAAATCTATTTCAATAACGCTCAAACCAAAACTGCGTCATAAACGATTCGGTAGCCGGCAGGAGTTTTGTAAAGCAAACTCTATTTAATTTGATGATTTATTATTGTCATTTAGTTTTCAATTTGTTACTCAAAATATAAATACGATAACATAGATTCTATTCTTTGTGAATATAAATTTTCTTCCAAATATATGTAATACTAGCTGTTCCCGCGACTTCGTCCGCGTGCTATTTAACTTTATTTTTCTAAAATAAAAGTAGCCTAAGTTATTCCTTATCACATCAGCTCCCTGCCAAAAAAAGTCCCGTTAAAATCGGTCCAGCCATACCAGAGAATAGCCGGAACAAACAGACCGACAGACAAAATTTGTAAAAAAAAGTTATTTTGGAGTACGTGCCATATTTATATTCATATACATGTAGTAAAAAACGGTTATTTCAATATTACAAACAGACACTCCAATTTTATTTATATGTATAGATATATTGTATACTAGACCTAAAGAGCCTGGATCAGCCTCACAACTTCGTCTGCATCACACTTACTTAACATTTATCATTATATACGCGCCATCTACATATCTTTTTAAATTATAGCCTATGTGTTGTTCTAATGTATAATTAATTAAATAGTTTTTGAGTGAAAAAGTAACAAACATCCATATCCATACTCACAAACTTTCTAATATATAATATTCTATAGGCTATATAACATCACGCTACGACTATAGGATTATAGGAGCGGAGTAGCAATGAAAAATATTTATTTTAAGTGCTTTCGCTGCGTACGCTACGTGCCTAGTTATGAAAAAAATATGTATGACGGAATTGTTCTCCTTTAAAAAAATCCTTAATATACAAATAAATGCGTTAACAAACATTGGACCTGAAGTGAAGCGACGTCGGGATAGGTTGCTAGTTATTTATAAACTTGTGGTAAATTGTTAAAAAAAATTAGGTTAATTATCTTATATTATAAAAAGGGTTAATTAACAAAAATATTAGCTAAGTTTACAATATTTTGAAAACATTCAACTATTATTTAAAAAAAGACGCTTCTATAGCCAGTTCCTGAAAATGTGACTATTTATAGCCAGTTCCTGAGTTTTATATCTCTTCTTGTATATCAACATTGGACAGTGATAATAATGCAAGTCAGGCGACTGAACTAGTGCGATAAATAAAACATAAAATTGTCTGAAAGTATGTCTGTGTGGTTGACACTCCTGAAGAGTTCACAATGGGGTGTTGAGTGTACGTCGAAAAAAGTTTTAGTAAGTATATAAATAATAATAATCATATGTTTTATAATTGTCGTTGTTTGGTGGTTTTCACCCGCATTGACAAGTTTATCACCCCATCAAAGGAAAATGTATATATACACAGGCACATATAAATACAGGCTTACTGGTTAAATCGACCTATTCCCGTTAAGAGTATATAGTTTACATCATTTCTGACAGATATATATTACACTATGAGACACCCTATCCTAAATGTACCCGTTTTCGAGATTTTAGAATATAATTGTTGTTTACAAAAAAAAATTCCAATTTTCGGCTGTTAGCTTAGACATTTTAAAATGTGTAATTATTATTATTATAATATTGGTTATTAAGGTGATAGAGCATCTTATTTTACATGTAAAAATCAAATTAATTAATTCATTAGGCGTCTCTTTCTATTTCTGTAATAGAAGGAGTTTTATTAGCGAATGAGACATACAAAAACAATTTTTCATTCACAGAAACCTATTAGTGTTGGCGCTATAATATAATAAAAAATAAACCGCGACCTTGCCAAAATTTCACGGCGCTCAGAAATAACAAGAAAATTAATGTCGGAATGGGATTGTGGGTGTGAACAACATATATACATATACATGACGTATAAACCATTCGTGGGTTCCGAACAATTATAAAATTTTAACTTCTTCTTCTTCTTCATGCCAATGTTTCTATTTTACGACGGCCTGAACTGAGGTTCGGACCCCTAGCGGTGCCATCAGACTATAGTCGTATCTGTCAGACGGTAGTTAACCTTCAGCCGTTCCATAAGTCGTTCCGCGGGTTTGGAGTACCATCTGCACTCGCTCTCTATCGTCCAGTGAAGCTGTAAAGTCCAGCTGCGGCCAACAGCATTAGAGTAGAGTAGTTCGAAAAAATCTTGAATTTTACTTCTCACTTCGCCACAGTGTACATGTATACATAAACCTTTTTCATGAATTACTCTATCTACAGGTTCGAACCTCGGTTTAGGCTGTCGTTATTTCTATCTCAGTTTGAATTGGACGGGGGATCGATCGGGAGGGCATGCCTCTTCCTTTTTCGGACTACTCGAATGCTGTTAGCCGCAGCTGGTCTTTACAGCTTCAACGGACTATAGTGGGCGAGTGCAGATGGCAGTCCAAACCGCGGAAGGACTTATGGAGCGGCTGAAGGCCAACAGCCTGACGCATACGACTTTATTCTGAAGGCACTGCTAGGGGTTCAAACCTCGGCTCAGGTCGTTGTAATTTCGATCCCCGTTTGAACAGGACGGGGGATTAATCAAGTTGCATTGCAATGGTAGATACCACTAATAGTTGAGTTTATCAGATAGATACTACTCATGCGTTGGATGCAAAAATTCTTGCGGAATTCTACACTAATATATAAATATTAAGACCACTTTAAATCCGCTTGAAACTTGGCACAACACAACAACTGAGATCATAAACTGGTCATATAAAACGTTTATTTACATATACGTTCATCTTCGCCACTCTCACCGCGTAATCTGTTCATTTTATACATATTAAACTGTGCGGGAACTGTGCGCGACGTGCCAAGAAATTTTAAATTTAATATTTATTGCGTTCTATTGTAATGTTACAAGTTTCATATTATTTAAATTATTACTATTGGATTTGTGGGTAATATTATAATATCGTTGGACAATTCACACAACGCCATCTAGTCCCAAGCTAAGCAGCTTTGTTTATGGATGATAATGAAAAGGTGCACCCGCCTGCGCTGACGGTATACGCTGGCGGGGCACTAGTGGAAGATAATAAGATGGGGTCAGGTCAGTTTGCCCATCGTGACAAATTCGTCAGGAATGTGTCAAGACGGCAAATTGCTAGCAATGGGGTTATTAGTCCACATTTGACAGCCTCGGTGGTCTAGTGGTTTAGCACACCGCTTTACTATCCGATGGTCGTGGGTTCGATTCCTCGCACGGTACAAACATTTGTATTCAGGAGTATGATTGTTTGTATCGGTCTGGGTGTTTTCTATGTATAATATGTATTTATTTAAAAAAAAAATGTATACATATATTTATATTAAATGTCTAGTACCCATAACACAAGCTCCACTTAGCTTGGGACTGGATGGTGTTGTGTGAATTGTCCGGAGATATATTATTATTATTATTACTAACAATTCCCTTCCCCCGTACCATTTATATTATATACAATATATGTACTCGTACATTACTAGTTAACCCAGAAAATGTTGTTTTGGTATATAAATTGAAGTACTAATTTATAGCGGTATCACTATTAAAAAATAAGAGTTGACCATAGAAGGGTGAAAATATAGAGCAATATAAATTTTTTATGACGAACCATAAAAAAATTGTCAAAAAAAAAATTACTTAGCGGTGTACAGACAGATTTAAAAAAAAATACATGAAATCCCATTCTCTGACTTACTGAATATACACACAAAATTTAATAATAGTCGGCGTTGTCGTTACGGAGAAATTTTGTTACATTTTATGTAAAATTGCTCGCTTATGTATAACGTTGTTTTATATGATTAGTTTCTATATATAAATAAATGTGTATGTTTATGTTTGTTTCAGCTACAAGTCGGCAACTCTCGTACAAATTCAAGGGAAGAGGACAAACGCAGCGACGACAGCAGACCACTCAGTCATGCGTCGGACTTCAGTCGGGACAATATACGTAAGTCATGACTTGACTGACCTCAAATCATTCTCCTGGTGCACCGTCAGCGTATACCGTTAGCCCAGGCGGGTGCACCATTCCAAACACAGGTTACTCACCAGACCTCAGACCTTCCGAATTTACCATGTCAGGTGGGCCCCCTGAGAAATCATCTTAACACATTCGTGACGAATTTGTCACTAACGCTAACTGACCTGATCTCATGCTCATCTTATTATCTTCCATTGGTGCCCCGCCAGCGTATACCGGTAGCCCAGGCGGGTGCACTATACATCAGACCTCAGACCTTCCGAATATACATATAAAATTTCATCAGAATTGGTCAAGTCGTGAAGGACAGACAAACTTGTTTAGATACACGTTCTGATATAAAACACTCTGAAGTTCTAGAAAGGCCAAGATCTTTTAGAAGGTTGTAGAGAGATTTCGCTGGTATACCTCTCGCTCCTACTTCTACCGCATATATATTAACTACACAGCTATTTTTCGTTAATTCGTTTATAAGTTTACTAACTGTACGCGGTTTTACCTGCGTGATTTTATAGCCTATGTGTTATTCTGATATTATAGTAAAATTTTATTAAAATCCGTTCAGTAGTTTTTGCGTGAAAGAATAACAAACAACCATCTACAGTCACAAACGTCCAAGTTCATAATATTGTATAGTAAGAAGATACCGTCAAAAGATTTGTCTTAATTGCATGATCTATTATATTGATATATTTCTTCCCCATGGTATACAGTGACACGAGAATTTTATATATTAGATTTCAAGGCTGTAAGTGAAGTCTCAGCAATTCACTTACAGCCCTGAAATCTAATATATATTATATATGGATTTTTACTTCTTTATTCCAGTGTCACTCAGCAATGCTCCGCGCAGGAGTCGACGTGGTATCGCCCCGTACAGCGACCTGCAGCGGCCCCTCACCAGGTACCTGCCCGTCGACAGAGATGACTTCGATCTGCGCAGACACGTCGAATCAGCTGGTAAACACATTTTCTTCTTCTGATATATGATAAGTCTTTATGTACATAATAATTATCAACACGAGTGTTTTACACTGGGTTTATTTGCAGAAAGATGGGCGATCATCTAAATGCGAAACGATCTTATAACCTTACAACTTTATAAGGAGCATATCCTACATTACAATATGATCTAATGCTAAACTCTATTTTGCTGAGAACCATATATAATAATAATATTCAAAAATTATTTATTCATGTAGGACATTTTATATGCTTATGATTATAATATTCTCTGGACAATTCATACAGCGCCATCAAGACCCAAGTTAGCTAGCTAAAGCTTGTGTTATGGGTACTAAATAACTGATGCAAATACATAGATTTTTTTTCCTAATTACATATATATTATACATAGAAAACACTCAGATCAAACATGATTGTATGATTGTATTCATGAATACAAAAGTTTGTACCGTGGCAGCAATCGAACCCGCGACCATTTAAGTAAGGCGTTAAACCGCTAGACCATAAAGGCCATCAAATCAGTCTATAAAATTTAAAATATAGTAATAATAGTGAATATACCCCAGGACAATTCACACAAGACCATATAGTCCCAACCTAAGCAGAGCTTTTGTTACGGGTACTAGACAACTGATACAAATACATTATTACATTTTGTTGTAAATACATACATACTATATAGCAAACACCTAGACCGATACAAACAATCATACTCTTGAATACAAGTGTTGGTGCCGTGCGAGGAATCGAACCCAAGAACATCGCCCGTGAAGTTTCAGCCGTATAGATTATTGTTTCAATGTTGTTTATAGCACAGAGAAGCAAGGGAACTTCATTCTTTCGTTACTGGTTGTGATTGCATAGTTTGATATTTTTCACGTGATCTGTGCTTTTATTCTTTCTGTCTAGCCGCAGCATCCAGCGTAAATAGCAGCTAAGAATTTACGAAAACAGATTACGCTCTAAGAATAGCCGTTTTTTTCTAATTTGTTTACAGTGAGAAACGGTGTATTAGTTAAAGTATCAACCAGAGTTCTGCCGTACGTCGTACTGACGGTGTGGGAATTCATTCACAAATCTTTTTTATTTTTAGTTCGCGAACGAATCTTTATTTTGTAATTAAGCGAGAAATTTCTTTAAAAATTCCTCTACCACTATATCAATGGTCAGTTATAACAGTATATATGATACATATGTTAACTGGCTGTGCCCGTGCCTATGTATTACTGTAAAGTTTCATCAAAATCCGTTGAGTAGTTTTTGCGTGAAAGAGTAACAAACATCCATCCATGCTTACAAACTTTTGCGTTTATAATATTATTGAGATGACTGTCCAGCTTTGTTCACATTGTCTCAAAATTGTATTATCTGTGCAAAAAAGAAGATATAATAAAAAATATCTGACAAACGATTGGCACAAAAATGAGAAAACACAGTGAACAGTTTTTTTGTTCTGTTTATCCTTTAACGAAAAGGCAAAGGGAACTACGCCCATACAGCCATACACACTGAATATTCATAAAATAATGACAGATTCCAAATTCAAATGTAATATTTTATTTATTTTTAATTGTAACAGTATATGTGGCCAGACTATGTATATGTAATATATGTTACATTGCAGGTCACCAACTGGAGGTGTGCCCCTACGTGACGATTAACTCGACCTCCTGTCGCGGTTACCTGCATAAACTGGGCGCCACATTCCACACTTGGTCCAAACGGTAACATTTTTTTATATACTTTTATATATCCGTCATACTCGTGAACAGGTGCTGTTTGGGGGGACTGGTCTATTCGAGTTAGACACTGATTAGACTATTTGCTTTTGACAACATTCTATTCTCCCAAATTTGAATTTAAAAATGAATCTGTATTATTGTAAACATATACCTTATTTGAAAAGAATAAGAGCTGAATTTCTTGTTAGTTCTTTTCAGCTCGAAAGCACTTCGAACTGACGGTAGATTTGACATATAATAAGAGTATAAAGATAGTTTGACTGACTGATCAATCATAGCACACAGGACAAACGAGCTTGCTGCTCAGAACTTTCCTTAAATTAGAGCTAGAAAAACCAGATAGGATCTAGGGCCAATAAAAATTACTAAATCATAAAAATTATTCAATCCAAAAAAATATATGGCCGGCCGCATCAATTCAAGACACGGGTCGCTTGTGGCCTGCGGGCGATGGTTTGGACAGCTCTGCCTTAGAACACTCTTCATGATGCATGCGGTAGAAAATTGTTGTTATGTACCGGTTATACAGACTAACATTTCTCGACAGGTGGTTCGTTTTCGACAGAGAAACGAAAACTTTCATTTACTACTGGGACAAAAGTGAGAAGAAACCGAGGGGCGGCGCGTACTTCCAAGTGAGTATGACCGATAACTTTTATAGAAGTGGACTTTGTACAAAGTGGTGTACGCTATATATATTTGCATAACACATCACATCATATCGCACACATATTATAATACTGGCCTAACTCAAAAATTAAATATTTTGGAAAGTCCACTTTATAACTGTGGTTTAAAGTCTAATTTCAAAAAATTTTAATTTCTCAATTAAACCAGTGTTGTACTAGATATGCGATATGTAATGTAATTATATATTATTGTACAGTTTTTCTTCAATCATGTTTGTATTGCATTTTTTTTTCAAATCAAACATTCAATCACTTAATCAATATTTTAGCCGCTCATGAACGACATATTTCTTTTTTATTATAATTTTTCTCTCTCCTGTCCTGTTCAGTATATTGATTCAAAATGTCGTTTCGGAGGAGTTTGGTAAAAAACACCGCGAGACGAGAATATTATTTAAATATTCTCGTCTAATTCTATTCTCGAATATTATAGTATTAGATATTAAATTTATATTCCCATAGGTGATTGAAGAGGTATATCTAGATCATGGGAATACATCGCGATCTCCCAATCCTCAAACCACGTTCATAGTGAAGACCCGCCAGCGACGGTACTACCTGATGGCTCCATCAGGGGAAGCAGCCAGGATCTGGATCGACGTGGTCTTCACTGGAGCACAAGGTTACACCGAGTACTTAGAGTGAAAGAGACGAAAAACCAAGATTAAATTCAAACTACATTGAGTTATTATGGAGAATAACTAACTAGAGAAGATACTGCTTAGATTCTGTTGTTAAAGTGGCGTTTTAATCAAATATTAATATGTAAAAAAACGTAAAAGAAATAAAGTACGAAATGAGATTAATTGCACATTAATACTTATTTTTCATTATTGTTATTTGGTTAATATGCCACTTATTGCCATAACAGAATATTTATTCAATATCTTTTTGTTTTTTGTTCTTGGCAACACTAAACAAAGGAAATTGTGAGAAAAAACAAAGTTAAAGTCAATATACATGTTTTAGTTTCATTTATTACACGCATGTATGACTATTGTTAAATAACATTATAAACGTATATTTTTACCGTGATTACGATATAAGTGCGTTATGATGGTTATAACACGCGAGACGGAATTTTAACCCGAGCCGTAGTCGAGGGCGCAACAGAGCCGAGGATGTTAAAACGCACGTATATCGTATGATATGTACCGTAAAGGGGATGTAATTTCACCGGTTTTTCCAATCATTTTATAAGCAAGTGTGTTGAAAATCGATTTATGTACTCCCGATATTTTGATGCTGTTACAAGCGTCATGATCGAATCGTAAATATCCGTAAATTTATGTAATGTATACAATTGTAAACAACCATGAAACAAGTTTAAAGCAATGTCTATTATTATTACATGTTTGTATTGGAAGGAAATCTTAATTGGACGAATGAAAAATTGCAAAGACCTATCTACAAGTTTTTTACCAATATGAATTAGTTTTTAACGGCTTTGAATGCAAACTTTCGAGTTCATATGACCTCGAAATCATATTGTGATGCCTGTGTTGCCATCTTTTAATTAATTCTAACACTGAAGAATTTTATCTTTACTTTAAAATCTCAAATATATTTACTTAAAATAATTACTGTATTCAAAATATTATTTAGTTTGGTGCAAGTTCTTTTGCATGTATTTAAACTATTTTAAAAGTACTCGCAATTTGTACTGTAGTATATTAAATTAAGAATTAGTAACCACTGTAACTTTATAAGGACCTTAAGCCTGAGCTGACGGTATATGCTGGCGTTGAACCACAAGGTTTCGAGTGGAGAATGAAGAAGAGCATGAAGTCAGATCAATTAGCCCATTGTGGCTAAGTCATCAAGATTTAACCACGATGGTTTCAAGGACATTGTGGAGGTCTACCTGTCGTGGTACTCTGATAGCAATGGGCGCTAATCCCCATTACTAATAATCCCTTTACCCTCACTACAATGTATTAAGAAAGTGCCAATTTTTACAATTTGTACAATTTATATGGCAAGTATTTTTTATATGAATTATACATTTGGACATATCAGTGCCTTGTACAAGACTGATAGATCCGGAATCGTTGATTGCATGTGCATGATATGTACATGTACAATAAAGTATAATTTATACATTTTATACAAATTAATTATACAACTATATTTACAATAAAATTTTATATGTAGTATTGATTCTGAAATTAGATGAATTGTACTGGTTTTAGATTGTATTCACTATTATACAAATGTTACCATAATTATGTATGAGTATAAATTTTGTTTTACTTTATACTTTTCGATTGTGTCAGGTTTAATTAATTTAAAAATATCATTATCTAAATTGTGTTTAACTCATTAGTTTAAAATATTTATACCGTCGTATTTTCAAAGCTTTATTATATATATATATTTACCATTTTATAAAACACACACTGTGTTGTGATTAGATATTTAAATATGGCTGCTCTTAATTAACTTTATTTCCGAACGTATATATACATTGTTCTATGTAAAATTAGTATATTAAGTTACATATAAGTACAAAAGTCGTAATATTTTTATTACGAATTCATAATACCAGTGTAAAAATTATCATTTATGCTTGCAACACTGTATTGTATACATAGTTTTTATGGCTGAATACCAATTATATTAGAAACTAAGGTCACATTATTAACCAAGGGATAGAAATAAAATTAATTATACTATAAAATATTTTCTTTTATTGTTAACTGATTAATTCCACTGAACTGTTATGACAGTTGGTAATTGTCCTATGAGAATTGAACCAAAACTACCTCAATTGGTTGTAATATCATGAAAAAAAGCCTGCAGAGCTTGACATGAAAATTGTTTTGTATGAATTGATATGGAATTCCTAAAAACAAAAGCTAAAAAATATGCCCACAAATAGTTGCGCATATACATTGCTAATTTTTTTAATCATTTTGTTTCTATTAACGGAAGCCTGGCTAAAAATAATCATCAAACATTATTTTTGATACCCGGTCGAGGCGAAACAAGGAAGAGATCTCACAGTGCCTACTACTAGAGTATTGAAGTACTAAAAATATTTCCAGTCAACATTATTTAAATTTGCTAATTACAAAGAACAAAAAACCAGTGTACTTATGTTCGAAAAAGGCCCTGTGTACAAAAGTTATAGGATTTTTCAATTATGTATGTCTATGGTTCTAAGAAAAGCGCGGGAACTTTCAAAGCGACTACACGTATTTTTTCGCGCTAGTTTTGGAAAATAATATTTTATTGAGTTTTTTTAGTCAAAACTAGTAAAGATGACGAAGAGGAGCGGGAAGAAGCGAAAAAAGAAAGAGGAAATATCGGATGATACATCCGATGATATTAATTTTCTAGGGTCTGACTCGGAATCGGCACCTGAGGATGTGGATAAGTATAAGGCATTTCAAATACCAGATTATGTTCGGTACTATCCTGAGGATGGTGGAAACTTTGAATACATTGTATTTATGGAGAGTACAGATAGTAATAAGCCAATCGGTGATAGGGATATGATGTCCTTAGCTACTAATTTGAAAAAATATAATAAAGGAGTTAAGCAATTATTAAGGATGAATAAATTTAAGATCGGCGTCATTTTTGAACGCCCCGGTTTAGCTAATGCAGCCTTAGTTAATAAAAAATTTCTAGACGGATTTAAATTAAAGGCAAGTATACCAGCTTCAGCCACGGAAGTAACTGGAGTAGTTCAGCATGTTCCTACGCATCTATCGAACGAACAAATATACTCTAATATAACCAGCTCAAAAAATATTGTTTGTGTACGCAGATTCATGAGGCGTATTAAAGGTGATGATAACACCTTTACAATGCAGCCAACTAAAACCGTCTCCATCACATTTTCCTGTCCTGTACTTCCTGACACCGTCGACCTGAATAGCTGGCGCTTTGTGGTGAGGCCTTACATACCTCCTGTAAAGCAGTGTCTTAAATGTTTAAGGTATGGTCACATCGCTAAGTTTTGTAAGAACGCTGAAAGATGCTCAGTATGCGGAAATAATCATAATTTCAGAAACTGTTCGGCAAATATTAACGAAGCCAAATGTTGTCACTGCAATGGTAATCATATAGCCATTTCATCACAGTGTCCTATTAAGAAAAAGAAAATAGAGGAGAATAAAAATAAAGTACAAAGTTATGCTGATATTGTTAGAGAGAAATCATTTCCTCAATTAGGCAGTACCAAAACTTCACCTTCGGCACAATTTATATCCCTACTTAATTCTGACCAAATTTTAAATACCCTATTAGAATCAATTGTTAAAATTATAACATTGAATAGAACCAATGACAAAACAATATGTACAGAAAATATAAAACAAGTTCTCCTAGAGACATTACAGAATAAAAAAACCCAGATTAATCTTTCTTTCTTTAATTTTTTATTTCTTTATGGACCATATAGTAATAGTCCAGTGGAATGCACAAAGTTTAGTAAGTAATCAACAAATCTTTACACATTTTCTATTGGAGAACAATATTCATATTGCTCTGATATCAGAAACCTGGCTAAAAGCCTACTATAAATTAAATATTAAAGGCTTTAACATTGTTAGATTAGACTCAGGCAATGACCACAACGGCGTTGCAATTTTAGTTCATAAAAGTATAGAATTCAGTAAAATTGATACATATAGTGATGATTCCTTACAGAATATTGCGGTACGATTAAAATATAAAAACACAGAAATGTCAGTTGTTAGTTTTTATAGCCCAAATAATTGTAGTCCACATTTTAACAAAAATAAATTCAGTAATCTTCTTAATAGTATTCCAGAGCCCATGTTGGTTGCTGGTGATTTTAATGCTCATCACACAGCATGGGGTTGCTCGTCTATTAATGCTCGCGGTCGTGACATTCTTGAATGTATTGATGGTAACAACTTGGTCCTCTTAAATGATGGTACACCGACTACAGTAGGATCACACAGATGGCAGAGTAATGCGCTTGACCTTACTATTGCATCCCCTTGCATATCTCTTGCTTCACATTGGATAGTACATAATGATCCCTTAGGTAGCTACCATTTACCTGTAATAACAAAAATAGTAATTAATAACAATTGCTCTAGATTACCAGAATCCTTAGATTATCCCAAATTTCATAATTACAATCTTATAGATTGGACTGTGTATAAGAAGACCACAGATAGTTTGTTACAAGATTTTACACTTTACACTTATAGTAATTCACCCCTGCAGTGTTATACTAAATTAATTGATATTTTAAATTTAGCTATAGACAAATGTTGTATATCAAAATCAAAACCCATAAGCTCTACAAATGATATTCCTTTTAAAAATAAAAGGATTCCATTACCTTGGTGGAATCAAAAATGTACTCTTGCAGTAGATAACTCTAAACAGGCATATGTTAATTTTAAAAACGACCCATCAGAGGCAAATTATATTGCTTTTAAAAGGTTACAAGCCAAAAAAAAATTAATACTTAAAAAAGAACAATCAATTAGCTGGAATAAGTTTTGTGAAAATTTTAATCGCACCACACCCATTTCCAAAATTTGGAATACTGTTAAAAAATTCAATAAAACTTATGTATATAGTCAGATTTCAAATAATAATAACTGGATTTCTAATTTTCTTAAAAAATATACTCCTGACACTGTCGAGACCCAATTTAAATCACACATTAATGAAAATAGTAACAAATTAAATTATTTAAATAAACCCTTCACTTTTTATGAATTTAATGCAGCCATATCTACCCGAAGAGATACAGCATTTGGTCTCGATGGCATAGCATATAAATTATTAAAAAACCTCTCTTATAACTCTAAAAATATTGTTTTATGTATTTATAATGCACTGTGGAAAGATTCACTTATTCCTTCCGATTGGAAAAAAGATTGTATTATTCCAATTTTAAAACCAAACAAAAATGCAAATGAAATAGATTCCTATAGACCTATAACTCTGACCTCCTGCATGGGAAAAATATTTGAGCAATTATTAAAACAAAGACTAGAATTCTACATAGAGAGTAATTGTTTATTACCAGCAAATCAGTTTGGTTTTCGTAGAGGTAAATCTGCCTCTGAGAGTGTTACTCATCTTCATATTGATATATTTAAAGCACTTAAATGCAATGAAGTTTTGATTGGGGTATTCTTTGATATTATCGGTGCATTCAATAATGTCAATCATCACATTCTCACTCTGGAACTTGTTTCTATTGGTATACCTGGAAAAATTATAAACTGGGTCTATAACTTTTTAAATGGTAGAGAAGTTTTTGTTAAAGTTAACAAGCAGTTAATAGGACCTCGTCTTTCTTATAAAGGTGTGTGTCAAGGTGGAATACTTAGTCCATTACTCTTTATCCTCTACATACACAAACTTAATTTAATTTTAGGACCACATGTCAGGAATCTTCAATTTGCAGATGACCTTGTTATATACTTTTCAGGCCCAGACATTAATAAAGTTACAGAAATAATAAGTAATGCATTGTTAAGATTAACAGATTACTTTAAATACCTCAATTTAGATGTAAGCCCTGACAAATCTAAAGTAGTAATATTTTCTAAAACTAATAAATCATACAAAAACATTAAAATATTATATAATAATTCACAACTACCTATTACTGCTGAAGTTAAATTTTTAGGTGTTATTTTTTGTAGCAATTTGTCTTGGAACAAATATGTTGATTATTTACTAGGTAAAGCTTCCAAAGCATTTAATATTATCAAAGCTCTATATAAATGTGATCCTAAGATCCTTTTAATGCTGTACAAATCCTTGATTCGCAGCCACTTTGAATATGGCTATCTATGTTTTGGTTCTGACCAAAACAAGCTTCATAAACTTGAAGTACTTCAGAATAATAATTTAAGATACATAACTGGTGCAATGAAAACAACCCCTATAAATTCCTTACAAGTAGAGTGCTGTATACCACCATTAAACCTGAGATTCTGGTACTTAAAACAAAGATTCATCCTAAAATTATTATCCTTTTCTGAAGACCCACTCTTACAAAAGCTCAAACATATTACTTCTTTATTTCCCCTTTCTAATTCTAAAACAGTTCCCTATATACTTCATGATTTCTCTGACTCAATCAATATTGATCAGCAATACAAAATTCACAAAAGCAATAGATTTTGGAATTGTTACCATGGACCATTTGAAAGTAAATTTCCAAATATTAATATTGTAATTGACTCTGAGTTAAGGACCAAACAAGAAGTTTATAACAAGTTGTCTACATTTTCAACTCATCAATCCATATTTACAGACGGTTCTAAAAACGAATCGAGAACATCCTTTGCTCTATACTTACCAAGTATCAGAACCGGTCATGGAACTAGAATACATAAAGAATTTAGTATTTTTTCAGCAGAATCTTTGGCTATTTTAAATGCACTTTGTTATATAAAAGATGATAGGGGCAATTGCAAAAAATGGTTAATTGTCACAGACAGTATGAGTGTTTTAACTGCTCTTCAAAGTAACAAACTACATTATAAAACCAATTATATCATAGATAGCATTAAGCAAATATTATATGAGCTCTCATTGGAGTGTTATGATATTATTTTATTATGGACACCATCACATATTGGTGTTTTCGGTAATGAAAACGCAGATTTCCTGGCAAGAACTATCACCAACAATGACATTGGCGTTGTCAAGGATGTTGCCATACCTTATTCCGACATTCTTTCTATAGTTTACAAGAGTTTTCGTCAAAAATGGATTGAACAGTGGCAACTTTCGCTAAAGACCAAGGGTAATTGGTTTTACTCCATTAACAAAAATATTCATTCCTCACCCTGGTTCACTAAATCTAGAGTTTATAAAAACCGGAAATTTTACACACTCCTTATACGACTTCGTTTTGGTCACGCTAGATTCAATAGTCATTTGTGCCGAATGAAAATAATTGATTCAAATGCATGTCAAGAGTGCAATAACAGCAGTCAGACCCTAAATCACATATTTTTCGAATGTTCCGCTTATAATATTCAACGCTTGGTCTTTATTGATAATTTACTGAACATTTACAAGAAACCGGAAAAAATCCCGCGCGACATCCAAGACATGCTAACTAATTTTGAAACATATATACCTATATATTTATACGTTACCTCGATATCGATGAAACTTTAAATAATTGATACAAGGATATGGACTCCGGATAAGACTTAAATTTTGAACACGAATGAAAACATAATAAATAAATATACATAAGAATTGGCCTTTGGCCTCATCACTTGTTCAAATATGAAGAAGTTTAAAAGTAGACTAGGCTGTACGGTCTAAGGATCTTTGCCTGTTCCATCACTGAAAAGGAGATGGACGAATATGGAAAAAAAAAATGTCTATGGTTCTAAATTTCCGTTTCATTTTTTTTTTGGTCGGGTTTTCCCTTTTTAGAGAAAGTTCCGTTTCATTATCTATACTGCCATTTACGTCATTTTGACATTAACAACAGATTAAATAACAACTCAAAGTCAAAATATCTTTATTCATGTAGTATGTCTTACAGACTCTTAGGATATGTCAAATCCATCGTCAGTTCGGAATTTCGAGATGAGAAGAACTGACAAGAACATTTTACCTTTCATATCGCCATCGATAACGTACTATACAGCCACATCTGCATGATCCATATCATGCAGATGTGGCTGTGTACCCTTTGCCTTACCTTTAAACGATGAACTGAACTAAAAAAATATGTAATCATATCTATGCCTATTATATTCATAGAGTTGACATTGACAGATAGTCTTAGTTTTGTTGTGATTCTTGGAACATTAATAGAAACATAGAAAGTTATAAGTATTTAACGAATTTTCAAATTTTTATTCAATTCGTTGCAGTGTATTGTATTTTTCCATATCATAAATATTAATAGAAGTTTTGCCAAGTAACAGTTTGATAACAAGTTAGAGAATAAAAATGACGAACCTAATACAGAATATCAAAAAATTCTTCACATATTGGTATTTAAGATATTTATTGGTAACAGAACTGTACATGGTGGAGACTTGGGAGAAGATTGTAATCCGTATCCTTTACAAAAAAAAAGCAACGCCTAAATTATAACCTATTTAGATTTAAGTAGATCAATTTACATCTCTGATTCATTTAGGTATGCGTATGATTATACGATAATAAAACTACTAATTTCTGTTGCCACTGACCCTAATTAGGCAAGATTGCATTTCAAATCACTTACGGCTAATTTTATCGGCCGCTAAATATAGGACTGTATGTTTGAATACCTAGTGAAATTGGTTAAATACCACTTACCTATCTGGGAAACATTGTCGACAGCCTCGGTAGTTCAGCAAACCGCTTTACTTACGATAGCCATGTTCGATTCCTCGCACTGTACAACCATTTGTATTTATGAGCATGGTTGTTAGTATCAGTCTGTTTTTTTTATACTATGATGGTGGCACACAAGCATACAGCCCATCTGATGGTAAATGGTTACCATAACCTATGGACGCCTGAAACACCAGGTATTACATGCACTTTGTTGACCTTAATTACAATGTATTTACATAAAAATGTATCTAAGTATTTGTATCCATTGTCTAATATTTATAACACAAGTTATACTTAGCTTGGTTCTAGATGATCTCTCATTCTGTGTCTCATCCTGTAGGTAATATTTTATTTACAATAAAATATTACCTACAGGAATAATAATAATAATTTTCATTTTACTACTCATAAGGAAACTTACAATATAGAAAAAAAAATTCAACTTACAAGTTAGCTTCTAAACTACTGGATATAAATAACTGTCCATCTAGATTAAAAAGAGCTCGCCTTGCCAACATCTAAAGAAAGTAAATGAGATAGCACCTTACTGGAGGTGCCTCATCTCAAAAAGCCAATAACTTCAAAAAATCTGATTATAGCCGGAAGGGCTGATCGCAGATAGAGAGAACAAAAATAAAAAAAAACTTACAAGTTATTCCTTGTGAGAGTCTGGATTCTAGGTTGAAACATGTACTTATAGATCTCCATGCTCTCCAACTTACTGTGCTATGCAATAAAACATCTTAAAGAATAGTATTAAATTACACATTATTTCTTAATCATATATTATAATATATTCCTTAATTATATAATAACAGAGTCTATTTTCGTGATTATCTTCGGTCTTTACTCATACTTCAACTATTCCATACTGACACATGGAGTATCACATCTGGGAAGAACATTGCAGAATACAGAATAAAGGAAAATAGATATTATTATGGCATACCAAATAATTACGAATAAGATTTTTATAAATGTTTTTAATCATGATTTTATTAAGTAAATAAATAATCAATATATCTGTATAAATGTTAATACATAAACAAAATGTTAATTTAACTATAATGTTATATGTTTCATTCCAATCTCATATTTAAATATAAATAAAACAAGTTTTATAAAGAGCTTATTTTTATTGTATCAAGTAAAATTATATAAAAACTTAAAAAGCCCTCTACATAAGGTTATTGAATTTATGAGTTGTTTGACTTAGGAGTTATAAAATAATGTAATTTTTTAAGGAATGGCCTGGCAAAGGCCTGACAATTTATGGCAGTCATTTAAAGCACAACATTTCAAATAATTGTAGGTATAAAGTATATTATTGTATACTATACTAGTCGAGCCTGTGGTTTCATCCACATGAAATATGTGTTATTGTGATGTATAAGCTATATTATTGTAAAATTTCATTAAAATCCATTAAGTAATTTTTATGTGAAAGAGTAACAAACATCCATCCACACTCACAAACGTCTGCATTTATAATATTCCTAAGATATATTTTATTATATAATTGAAAGTGCAATCTGTTAGCTCACCTGAGAGTAAGCACTGACTGTAGCATGTACACATGAATGCATTATACATATAGCATATGACATGCTGTCTGCTGACTATATATTGAATGGTGGTCCCATTTTCAGAAGACAACCTTAGTTATATTCTAGGAGTACATACCATTAATGTAGGCATAAAGTGAAAACTCAGATAAAAAAAATGTTTCTAAAGTCTATACTTGTCACAAACATGCTTAATATTAGAACAGAGAAGATAAAAATAAATGTATACCTATATTAATTACTAGCTATGTTCGCGACTTAGTTCGCGCAGCGCATGCAACGGAAGCCCTCAAATGATGAATAATTTTCCCATTATTGCAACATTTTTCACTGATGCTTCGTTTCTATTGCTCGTAGAGTAATGTTACATAGCTTAAAGCCTTCCTCGACATATGGAGTATCGATTATCGACGAATTCGATCCAGTAGTTCCTGAGATTAGTGAATTCAAACAAACAAACTCTTCAGGTTTATAATATTAGTATAGATGTGGTTTATGTATTTTTAAGAGAAAATAAAACAATCTAACATTGGATCTGCAAAATATATTCAATTCAAACCTTTAGATAACTTACACAATAACCATTTGCGTTGCGGAACAACTCTGGGACTTTCAAAGACATGTTCTGCAGATGTTCTATACCACGACAGAACATGTTCTTTGATATATCTGTTGATACAACCCCAGGGTCCGACAACCATGCCTCTACTTCATCATTCAAAGACAATTCTATTTTATACAAAATTTTTGTAAGTAAACACGATTGTAATTTAATTTTATCACTATCTATATGTTCCCCGCAACTCCTCAACACTTGTAACTCCTTATCCATGACCCAAATGAGCAGATATTGCTTGTTAGTTGTTGATATTGTGCATTCCAGTATGATCTTACACATCATAGTGTACTGGAGACCAAGATTAAATTCTTGTGTCAATTTCTCAATTGTAAATATAAAATCATCAATTTTTAGGTCATCTGTCGATGTCTTGTGAATAAAGACACGCTTCTCCATATTATCCTGGTTTATTGTGACTTCAGAATTGAATAATTTCACAGAGTCCTTGTTTTTGATCCCCAACCAAGCTAAGCATCTGTTACAATGGTATATTTCCCTTTTGGAATTGAATTTTTTACTTTTTTCGGACAGCACCGTATTGTTTACTACGAACGATGTTAGTCTGTATAGGAAATCATGTTTATTTGACTTCAGGACAGGTTCGATGTGAGAATTATGGCCGTGCCCATGACAGAACCATTCTGACATGTCCATATTAGTTGAAGGCAACTCTAGAATTCTGTCGAACTTCACCAAACTTTCAGAAATTGTATTTGAACAGTTAGCACAGGTAATTTTTAATTCATTATGAATTTTAAGATTAATTTTTATATCATTACTTTTTGATGCATTTTCAGATGTGTTTGATGTCAACAGTTCATTGTAGAAGTTCCCGCCGTTCCTTGGTTCAGTCAAGATTCTGAATGAGATGGTGTTCTTATCGATTTTCAAACAGGACATTGAGTTTGGTATGATTTGACAGAATTCTTCTATCGGTATTGTGGAGGTAACATCATATTCCTCTTCAGAGTAACAATCAGAGAGGCTTTCAATTGAGGACAGACTATCGCTGCGTTTAATTTTATCATTATCGTCATAGTAATTGAGTACAATACAATTTGACTGTATGCTAATTTTCAAGTTACAGTTCTTTGTGAAATCAACGCCTGTAGTTATATAAACGTTGCAACTGCGCAATCGGGAGCGCAACTCCATAAAAATACTCTTGATCAACATTTTCACTTACAAATAGAAACTAATAATAAAATCCAGTGGAATTTTGGACCTTACTTATCTAATCCCAAGGTGCTTTACTTATCAATTAGTTCAATATTCTCAATATTTGGCTTAATTCTTTGCACATAACCATTTGTCTCGTATACATTGAATATATTGTCCATCTCACGGATTGTGAATGGTAGACTTGCTTTTTGATAGTAGTTGCCCATCATTTCGATGTTGTTGATGACTGTGCTGAGTAGGTGCGACTTTTCTGCATAGATGCCGGGTGCCTCGTGCCGGAGATACGTGAAATGTACGTGGAGATGATAGAACGATGGCTGGTAGTGTAAGTAGATACGCAATTGACTATCACACACGTTGTACTTCTCTAGTATTTTTTTCTGGAAAATTAAATTTCAAGTGTTATTTATTACCCACTAGTTACCTGTCCCAGTTTCGTACGAGTACACATGTATTATACATACAAAGTGACTTGAATCACTATCTATTGTTAAACTGTATTAAAATCCGTTGCATAGTTCAAAAGATCTAAGTGAACAGACAGTGGATGGGATTTGATTTTGCAGTAATTATTTAAGGATATATTTTGTGAAATTGCCACATTAAGCAAATAATTCTCTATTTTTGATTTTGACAAAGGAATAATTAAATACTAAAATTATAATTTCGAAAGTGTCCTGTCTATCTATTTGTTACATTTTAATAAATAAATGGTTCAGCCATTTATTCAAAATTGGTTCAAACTGTAATATTAACTATCTTCAGGAGACACATGGAATGAAACTTTTTTTATTAAAATCAATAAAATATCTAAAATAAAAGTTAGTCTAAGTTTACTCCTCATAACATTAGCTATCTCCAGTCCAGTCCAGCCAAAGTTTCAGAGATTAGCAAGAACAAACAGAAAGACAAACTAAATTTTAATATTATTTTTTATGGAAGTATTTTAGGAATTATATGAATTTAGTGTAAAGCTATTAATTTGAAATTACAAACTGACACTTAAATTTGATTAATTTGTATAGATATAGATTATATTACCTTTCCCTCATTCAGTATTCTTCTAAGAAGAGGCAAATGACTTTCATTCAGGTCTCGCAGTGACTTTATGCCTCTCTGTCTAACAATTGCCAGCAAGTACAATGTCTCCTTAGTAAGACCATCCCATTTCAAATCTGGTAGCAGAACAAATCCCTCCTTTTCACACTTATTATCATGTACAATTCTATCCTGCTCACTCACTCCTTCCAAAATATTATACAACCACTGTAACAAAAAAACGACATGTTTAAAATTAAAGGAACACCAAATTTATTTTCCTTTCAGTTGCCATCAGACAAATTGAATCAATCAATCTAAATAACTTTATTCATGTAGGTCTATTACAGACAGCTCATATGCCTTTTTGTCTGACTCACTGTTCATAGGCCGCCATATTGTGCCCCACTACTCTCGAAAAACCAGGAAGTGATAACAACAAATTCAAAAATGGAACTCTTTTAATAAAATTACCAGTCACTGTTCATAAGATGCCATATTGTAACCCCACTCCTTTCGAAAAAGATAAGGAAGTCAACAATAGATTTATAAAAATGGCGCCCTTTTGATGGAAATTTATACTTTATATATCTATGTTTTTTTTTTATATATAGACCATAAAACACAAAATTATATTATCTTTATAACTATCCATAAGAGACATGCTTTAAGAGACCTTTATCTATGTTATAAATGGAAAATAAGTAATTAATGTATGATTGGCATAAGTCAAAGGTCATATGATTATCACTTCACTGTTCAATTACATTATTATGTAGTTATCCTTAATAATATCATAAATGCGAAAGTAACTCTGTCTGTCTGTCTGTCTCGCTTTAACTACTGAACCGATTTAATTTAAATTTAGTACACAGATACTCTAGAACTTAAGAAAGTACATAAGCTACTTTTAATCCGAAAAAAGGGTTAAAGGGTGAGATGACAGTTTATATGGAAGTATCGATAATTTACGTAAACGAAGTTGTGGGCAATCTAATTAATTATAATTAAGCTAATCTGGTAAATGAAAATATTTACATTAAACATCCATTATTATCTTACAATATACCTTTATTCCAATACTTTGATTTCCAAATAAAGTTGTAAAAATATAAATGACTAGATGTGCCCGTGGTTTCACCCATGTTAAAAAATATTGGGGGTTATTCATAAGCTATATTACTGTAAAGTTTCATCAAAATCCGTTCAGTAGTTTTTGCGTGAAAGAGTAACAAACATTCATACTTACAAACTTTCATGTTTATAATATTATTAAGATTAAGATAAAGATATTAGTACTGATGTAACATCAAAGACCTACTGTTTTTTTTTCTATGCAATATTAAGTTTTAATATACCAGTCGTACAAATAACTCTGCATCTTTAATTTCATTATTCCCGAAAATCCTTTGTGATTAGTTCAGAACAAGTACATATTTTTTATATTTAAAAAGTTATAGTAAATATTCAGAATACAAAAGTGGCACTCATCTAAAGCATATTCTTTATTTCTTGTAATAAAGAATTTAGTTACTGATTCAAACATGTTCTTTAATATGTATTAACTGCAAAGTTTGAAAATCAAATACTGATATGGAATTAACTATTTAATTTCAGTTGTATATTTTATATTTGTTTCTTTCCATTACAAAATCTATAATGATTCAAATAAAACCTCCTGAACTTAAATTTATTAAAATCAATAAATAATCTACCATTTCTACTGTGAATATTTACTTGTCATTCTACTATCATAATCAATACATAACACATAAAAACTACTTAAATTGAGGTCACATAATTCATATGGCCCATATATGAATTATGTGACCTCAATACCCAAGTGATAATAAATAAAAATACCTGTAAATTGAACTGCTCCTTTTTAATAAAGGGTAATGTTAACTTCTCATACAACTCTGGTGTCTCCAATACAATGTGGACTTCTTGTTGGCTGTACTTCACTATGTGCTTCTCAGTAGCTGGATATATTATTGTGGTTTTCACACCTATAAAAAACATTAATATATTTTACATTTATTTTAAAATTTTGTCTAAATAATCTGTGTATAAAGTATGGAGGAAAAAAAATTGGAAGTACTTTTTTTTGGTTCAGTTTTTCCCATCTCATGGAAAAGCAAAAGGACTCAGCCCATACAGCCATTGTCTTCAGTGACTTGAAGTACTGATTAAAAGATGAATAAATCATGTTCCATTTTTAAAGACAATGAAAATCATACTACTAAGCAATAGCAAATATATAATATTATTTATTTATTTATTAAAACTTTAATGCACAGATACACAAATAAAGATGCACATGGCGGACATAACACCTAGAGGCATTTTCTCCCAGTCAACCATAGGGCAAATAGAGATTCATGTGGGTGGTGCATTATATTATGACTAAATTTAGTTCAAAGCTCTCACACTATTCTCTTCACTTCCGACTCAATTCAGAGAATGATTAGTAAGCTGTATAACTTTTAAATCTATGTTTTGTGTTCTTGTTTTTTTTTTAAACAAGACAGACTGTGTTTTATCAAATATCTTTGAATTAGTTCATATGGATTGTCTTTGGGAGCAATCTTATAAATTATTCAAAGTTTCAAAAATCTTCAGAATGCTCACAAACTACAGCCAACTAGATGCATAAGAATATAAAAATAAATACTACCACTCACATTGTCAGCATTTTAGTAAAGGTCAGACACAGCACAAATATAGACTGGTGAATCATAAAAATTGAGCAATATTAGAAAGAATCCATTAGAAATAATATAAAAATGATGTGGGTAATGTAAATACCATTAACATAAAATGTGATGAATAGTAATCATGTGTCTTAATACTTTTCATATCATCAACAAAATAATAATTTTATGTGACAACACAAATAAAAAATAACACAAACAAGAATTCCAAAGTTATATAAAATTATTTAATATACTTTAAATAATGTTCAATTAATTATCAATTGAGATTCCTTTGTCTACATTTATAAGGAAACAAAAAAAAAAGAAACCATATGTCTGGTGACGTGAAGTATGTATGGAATACAACTGAACAAATTTACGTAAATTGACCCCACGTTATCTAACTTGTTAATTAAATAAATAAAATACGGCACTCACGCTATTGATGCGTTTTATTTCATTGTCAGTATTTGTACGTAAATATAATTAGTTCACGATTTGATGACTAATTTGTGCAAACCTCAAGTGTTACCCGTTCAGTCTTACCTTGAAAATTTCGAAAGGGCCTGTCAAAAGTACATGCTTTCCTTGATTGCTTACCGTTCAATGAAGACTTCGGGAAACAAACGTAATTCCCATATATATCGTTCTGGAAATATGTTTCCAAGACGGTTTCCGGTGAAAAATAGCCAGTATCGTTCAATTCTTCCTCCCTAAACACAGTTTTCTCCAATATAGCCAGAGCAACGCCACTTTTATCAACGAATTTACCTTGCACACAAACTAATTTAGTGTTCGAATTATTTCTTAATATCTTCTCTGGGATAAAGTCTTTCAGATTTATCTTATTATCATTAACACCATTATCAGTCTGATGGTTAATTTTTATTTTTTTACAACTTGGCGGCGCAACATCGTCGCTTTGGCGATCAGCGTCGGACATTTTGTAACGAGTTACCAGATGGAAAAATTAAACACGACAATAATGTTACCATTAAGAAGAATAGGTTCTTCAAACCGAAGTGATTACGTGCTCTGTGTTTTTTTTTAACTAATTAGTTATTATTGTATACTTACTTACCTTATTAATAATTTTGTGTTGATTTTTGTAAATAAATATAATAAAAATATACTTCTTTGTAAATTAATTTAAAATATTTTGATACCGTCCATTACCTACATGCATCCTTGCTTTTTTCAAATATAGAATCCTCTATAATTATTAATTTAAATTATTAACATGCAAATATTTTATTAACTTGTGTATATAGATACACTGTACATTATACAGCCATCAATGTGACAACAATGCAAAGATTCAAGGAAAGGAATACTGCCATCAAGCGGTAGTGATGAATTGGTCACTTAACTGTGCGTCTGAGTGTCCTACAATAGCGACCGGCAACGCATTCAATAGATTTTATACTTCTGTCCGGATTCATTATATTATACAGGTTGTTCAATTTCTTATACAGATTTGTTAGCGATCTTACAAAGTTTACAAACTTATAGAACTTTTTATAGAATTATCTTCAATCATCATTAATTACAAAATGAAAGAAATTTTATAGGCGAATAAAAAGGAAAATAGTTTTTTATAGCATTATTGAACGTTTATTTGCTAATTTGAAATTATATATCATTTAATTCACATTTTAGGTAAAGTTTTAGTGGAAAGTATGAACCGTAAACACAATTTGAAAGCTATTTCGATTCGAAAGGTTATATATTAAACTAGGAAGGGAAACAATATTACAGGAAACAAAATCTACATGAATCTATTTTAATACGCTGATTATTCATGCGTCCATACGTCTGTCTTAAAAAATGTGGGTGACGCTGATTACAATTAGGTTTAATAAAAATTTATTGTATACGCAGACTGACTGGTCATATTATAGTGAATATAAAGTTGAATTTATATAGGTCTATATGAGTCAGGAATAGCGTTTATTTTAATGGAAGAATATGAATAAATGAATAGCACACCTGTCTGTGTTACCGTTATACGATGGCGGATATATAGGTTCTCTCTCTTTCTCTCAATTTAACGGTAAGTAGGTATATATACAAATATCATAAGATTGTTACGATCGTATTTTTAAAATGTAATAATTTTCGTATTGTTATCATCAACCTGTATATAGACAGGAGAGCAAACACTCCAACATTGTCACGCCGCTGTATTCCTTACAAAAGAGTTCAAAGGTCAAGAAATAGGACTGTACTTTTATTGATATAAATTGATGGTGTAAACGCCCCTTTCCGATGACGCCCTTATGTTATTCTTGTCACATTTTGATGTTTGATGAATGTGGTGAGAGTGATGGTAGAACTATACTTAGCATGTGGATTGTTTTTTTAATGAATGGTAATTGACGCCTGCGCTATATGTAGTTTTTTTACTCTAATGATGTTGACCGCAGCTGGTCTTTACAGCTTCACCGAATAATTGAAGGCGAGTGTAGATGGCACTCCAAAGCCACGGAAGGACTTATGAAGCGACTAAAGGCCAACTCCCGCCTGACGGATACAACTTCAGTCTGAGGGCACAGCTAGGGGTTCGAACCTCGGCTCAGACCGTCGTAATTTCTATCCCCGTTTATATTGGACGGGGATCGATCGCGGGGGCGCAACACCAGTGAGGTATGACTGTATTAACATGAAATAAGGTCAGTCATGGCTAATTTAATGGGAATTAATCACGATGGTTTCCAAGGGGAACCGTGTGGAGGTCGACCTGATAGTGTATATTCTCATTATATATTATAATGCAGCGTGATCGCCTCACCACTGTAGCGTTACTGTTTTATTATTTACTATTTTATCAGTTTGAAATATTTATCCCAATATTCTGTTTATTTTCAGTTTAGTTTTTTTAATGGATGATTATTGAATGGTGCAGTCGTCTGCGCTAAGGGTTTACGCTGGCGGGCAACAGTGAACGATGACAGGAAGAATTTATCACTATGATTTCCAGGGGTATCCGCGTGGAGGTCAACCTGATTTAGTACATTGCTAGCGATGACAAATTCACTATGCTGAGTTGGTTGGTAATCTTATATAAAGCCAACACTTTTATTTCTATACTAGATTTCCAGGGGTGGAATTTATCAAAATCGCGCGGATAGGTCATGTACTGTGACCACTGATTTCGACCAGTACATCATTCCGTCGACAAGCATAGAACATGATGTAGTCAGTAATTGCACAGAAATATGTATGGCCTGGTATCAGTTTGCTAACAGTCACACGTCATTCATTCTCACCTTTCACTACATTTCCCATACCATCCGAACGCTTTTCATGTTCACCTCGACATAATTGGCCCTTTGCCCTTCTGGTTACAGGTACCGCCTCACCGCCATCGACAGGTTTACTCGTTGGCCTGAAGCTTACCCACTGGTGGACATCACCGGAATCATGTGCAAACGCCTTCATCTTTGCGGCATAACCACGGACAGGGGGCAACAGTTTCAGTCAAACCTTCCAGCACATTTCTTTTCATTTATCTATACTAGCGTTTTATGTGCCATAATAATCCACAGCGGGTTTTGTTCGGAAGGAAGTCAATTTATCCCTTTACGGCGAGACACTCCGATTGGAATTTATCAAACGGATTTCGTCGCTTTGCGCAGACATATGGCCAAGCTTACACCAACTCCTGCATCGAGTCACAGTAAGCCAACATTTTACATCTCTCCATGCAGAATATATTACATTTAAGAAAGCTGAACATATACAAAGTCTCAAGAGAAGCTAAGACGTACAAGATCGACGTTCAAAATTGACAAACCAGTTATCATGGCACGCAACAACTTTCATCACAACCCTATTTCATTCACTTCCCGGACTACTGGACACGGTAGAATTATTTGTATCAACAATCCATGACAACTTCTTAGACGGATGCCTACATACAACTATAATTGAAATAATATTTTCTAGTATATATAATTTTCATCTACTATTTTATTTACATTATAATTACTACCGACCCCACACATGCAAAGTCTCAGTCGATCGGTTTAAAATTGACAAAGTTTCATACAAACTTTCATCCCCTTGGGGGTAGAATTAATCAATTCCAGTGGTTTGGGCTGTGTGTGTGTTGATAGATCACTATGTCAGTCATCTTTGAGTTATATACATTTAGATTTATTATGCCCGTACATTTTATATTATATGTTTGTAATAGGTGAATGAAGAATATATCTATCTATTAAACTATTAGAGCTGGCGGGAGCACCACTTCATTACCACCTCTCAAACATTCAAAGAAGTGAGATTAATAATAATAATTAGTTTATTGTGCAAAAAACAGTCACAAAGTGGACTAAACCTAGTTTCTATATCTAATTCCATATACAATGCAAGTAGCTCTTAATAACGATTTTCGACGGCCTCGGTTGTCTAGCGGTTTAGCACACCGCCTTACTTCCGATGGTCGCGGGTTCGATTCCTCACAGGACACGAACATTTGTATTCATGACTATGATTGTTTGTATCAGTCTGGGTATTTTCTATGTATAATATGTATTACGAATATACAAAAATATGTATGTGTTACGAATATATATATATATATATTCGTAAATAAATACATATTATAGGTTAACTTGAGTCTAGATGGCGCTGTGTGAATTGTCCTGAGATTATTATTATTTAATACCAAGTCCAGTGCCTAAACTAGGCCAAGCCTGTATCTCAGACACCATTGATCCTACGAGTTAATAATTGCTCTGTTTACCCCGTCTGGGATAACAGTCGTGATGATACATATGTATTTTCAGCTGAATGCAGACATATGAGCGTTACATACACACATGAAAGTACTTAAAACATGACGACTTCCGTTGTTGTGTTCACATCTGTCGACAAACTTGTTTTATTGTTTTATGTTACATCAAATGTCTTATTAACATGGTAACTGTGCTTAGGTTAACTTATTTGATTACTTTTTTTTAAATTTATGATTATGATATAGTGAACCCACCTGCGCTAACGGGTTACGCTGGCAGGGCACTAGTGTAGGATGATAACATGAACATGAAGTCAAATTCACCAGGAAATCACAATGGTTTCCAGGGGAACCGCGTGGAGGTCAACCTGACAAGACCTGACATTTCTAGCAATTGGGTCACGATGGATTCCAGTTACTAATATCACAGATAATATAATCTAATATCACACATGATTTTGTTATTACTAGCAGGCATTCAAACGTTGGTTTACTTTGGAAAATAAAATCGCTATTAAAAAATAGGGGTTGGAGAGAACGAAAATTTTGAGTTGTATGTACATATATTTTATTGTTATAAAAAAATAAAATGTTGAATAATGACAGCCCTTATCACTTAGGAGTATGAAAAATAGATAGTAGCCGATTCTCAGACCTACTGAATATGCGTATAAAATTTCTCTCCCCTTTATAAAGGGTTTTTTTTCTTATGGACGATAAAGGAATGTTGCACCCGCCTGCTAACTGTTTACTCTGGCGGGGCACCAGTGGAGGATGATATGAGGTCAGGTCAGTTACCACATCGTAGCAAATTCATTTATACAGGGACAACCACGTCAACCTAGAGTTGCCAAGCCCAAATTTAAAAACCCAGGATTGAAAGTTCATAAAACCAGGACTATCCAGTTAAAAACAGAACGCAGTAATAGTGTTGCAATAGTTGTATTAATATGTAGTAAAATTGAAGTATATATATTTTCAGGTTTTTAATACAAAGTATTTGATAAAATTATACTGTTTTTCAAGAGATTCAAGATTCTTTATTTGTAAAACATGCGTGATTACATAAGGATATACATATAGAAGGAATTTGTCCGACATGTTTAACCTAGATGGCATACAATATATTTAAATGCTATAATATAATATTAAATTTAAATGTTAAACAATAATAAAAAATAATGATGTCATAATAATACAAA